CCCGCCAAAACTCTATAACCACCGTTTTTGCAGGACAAACTGCTGGAACTAGGGTTATATGAGCGGAGCTACATAAGCTACTTTTGCCTATAAGTCAAACGATTCGAGCATTTTGTGTGCCCACCTACTGTAATCGATGTTTCCTATCTATAGGCTCCTCTTTTATACCCAGCCTCTACGATATGGCTGTGCAATCTGTATTGCTGGGCGAAAACTTCGTACCTTTTGGAGCTAAATGTATGGAGGCTGGCCTTGTTTTTACAGTTTATGTGTATACCTCAAGTGAGTGGATGTGCCTGCTTGAGTTGCAGCTGCGTGTACAGCTAAAGAAAAATGCTGCTCAAATAACGAAAGCCCTTTTGTACTATTTTGAGCATTCGAATTCATGCTGATGTCCGTCCTGACAGATGAGGATAGCCATAGAAGCAGCAATAGTTTAAGGTAGGAAAGCCGACCAGTAAACAATAACGCTGGCCCGCAGTTGATTGCGGAGAGTTGTGCATGACTGGACCAGACCGATTTCGACTGAAATCACATTCGACGCCGAGTAAGGTCTCTGCATGTACCGCTTCCGCCGCGGACAATTGACTTGATGGCCACAAAGGTGAAATCATGCTTGGATCGCGCATAAAGGAGCCTGAGCCGACTATGCGACAGAGTTACCAATTATCGGAAGTGGCGCCCAATACCTAAGAATCTGTTCACAAATTCCACATTGCCATCTACAAGATGACTGCCAGCTCCGGAGGCAAGATACTATGAGAGAGTTAAAAAGCTAGGACTGGAAATCTACAGTATCTGTTAGAAAGTGCATAAGGAATGCTGGAGGATCTGCGGATTAGCTAAAACCCTTCGAACATGTGCCAAACAGCGGAATAATCTTGGCGAAGAACGCGTCTAGACATTTATCAAGTACATGTGCGGGCAGTATGGGAAATAATAACATACTTTACGTTGATAATTTTCTTAGATAAAAGCTTAGTTAATCAATATTGGATGTTCAGGAATGAAGAGTACTGCACAGTCAACTTCAAAACGGATCGTTAAATGTTTCCTTGTCTATAACTATTGACTGGTCTCTTGTTGTAATTACTTTTAACGGTGGATTCCTGCAATACCTCAAATTCCCAAAATAATAGTAAACATTTTTCCGTGCTGGTCCGTTTCTGTGTTTTACGTTAACCTCAAATGAACTCAAAAAACTTTAGCACCATTCGCTTACGTCTTCGAAAAAGAAAACAGTAGTGCGGATATTGAAAGGAAATGCATTTACGATTCGCAGCTTCTTCTTGAATCAGTTGCCTTATTGTTGCCCATATTCTAAAAGGATCAAGTGCGGAACACATAAAACTTGCTTTTCAAAAATGGCAGTTTTCACACTTCCTGAAACCTCCGCTATAAAACCTCCAATTATGCAAGCAACCAGATGATAGCCGACAGTGAATCTCTGCCTTGCATGTATGTTTAACGAGGCAGCAGAGTGTCGTTGGATTCCCTGTCTTAGATTTAACGGAAACTGCATTTTGGAATTAAAGTGAAATAAATGTATTGGAAAAGGTGTGAAAATATACATGTAATTCATTGTTGTTAACAGGAAACGCTTGTTTACTTAAAGGTGTGCCATTCAAAATTCGACGACGAAATCGGATTCACACTCTAAGAAAAATGTTCCAGTGATATAGTCTCATATTCAAGCATATTCCATTTCAGTGCAGTACCTTGGGCTCCTAAGGTGCAAACCTTATTTTTATTACGTTTACATGTGTCTTTGCGTTCCTCCGCATAACGTACCTTTTACCCATGTAATCTGTGGTGGGAAACATTTAAGATATTTTGAGGGAAATTGTATTGCTCTTATATACTTATTATCAAAAAGCTGTGTTTTCTGCATCCCATCACCAAATCTTACAAATTATAAGGTCGATAGTTGTGATATATCTCATGTCATACTTTTTGTTTTTACTTTTGCGATAAGAATATTATCTTTAGGTTAAATTATTTGCATACTGGTAATACTAGTGATCCAATGTGTTGGGGCAACATATTTTCTCTCATATGACATCTTACAACTCTATTATGATACTTGCTTCCTGTCTGAAATTAACTGCAATCTTGTTTTCAGTATTTCGCTCGCAATATCTCGCTATTTGTGGATGGATTGCGGCCTTCCTCTGTGGCATTCCGTGTCTACTGCTGGCTTATATTATTGAAAATAAAGATGGGAGCAACTGCTATCTCAACTTTAAATATGTTTCGCCCCGGGTGAGTCAGAAGAGGTTTAGTGAACCTCAAAGTTTGTGAACATGTTTCTTTTGGAAGCTTGCTGCAGAAATATAGTATATTTATCACATGCGCTTAAGGAAATCTTGCTGTTATTTTAGAATTATTTCAATAATTATAATTTACACGTTATGGTTTAATGCTATCCAAATAGATAAGGTAAGACATATACTTATATACTGAATATGAAATAAAATGACTATTGATGAACAAGAGCAATCAAAGTACTTAAGAATCTGACTGCTCTTTGCCCACGTAGTAAGTAGTTTGGTTAGTAATCAAAAGAAGAACGGCCGATATTTATAGCAGACGCACATCGTATTCTCTAAAGGCCTTCTCTAAACTCCTCTATCTTCAACAAAATAAGCTAAAGGAAAAGCGACTTTATCCCGCGTTCCTAATAGGGCAATGAAGTTGTTACAATCATTCAACGTACACATAAGTGAAAATGGATTATCGGTTATTGCATCGCACTTTCAACCTCTACTAAGTTCTCTAGTAAGGTGTCTTAATATAAAATTTATTCATTGACGGGCCCCTGGTTTTTTCTGATAAAGCGCATAACATAAGGACTAACATCTTGCTCATTTAAATTAGGATATGATATTTGTGTGTGCATCTTTCGACTTGACAATAAACGTCTTAAGATCATTAAGCTTTATCAAATCAAGCAAACAGATGGTTCAGCTTATTTTACATAGTTTTATATAATAGAACCCAAGATTATATTTGAGGACCAACACCTTGGGTTATTTAGTAGTATCTGCTTGGTGTTTCCATGTAACCTTTCACAGCACGTTAGCTTAGCGAAAAAAACATACAATTTTGAGGTTAGGCAGTAGGAAGGGGACCCCTTTGGTTTATTTTCTATGCTTCGGTTTATGTTTCTATGTTTCTCTCGTCCAATAGTTAATTAAATGACACACTGGCGTTCGTAAAAGAACCCGGTAGAGAGGAATTAATAACTACCATTTATGGCAGGAGAGAAAGTTTTTATCTTATCTGTGTGCGCGCTTAAGAGATTCCAAAAGGAAGTGAATAAGCCTGATTTTCATCTCAATCATAATAATTGACAACTATACAAAATTTTGTTTAACTGTTAAGACAAAAAGTATCCAAGTCATAAAAGAAACTGATTAGTCTGCTTTATAGCTTTCAACCAGAGGCCAACAGCATAAATCTTTACTACGGTAGAGAAGAGTACTCTGAAAATGAGAGCTGTCAAAAACCGTAGGCATGTGTGTCAGTGACTTTGATACAACACTACAGGAGTTTAAAAGATTAACTACCGTAATTCTATCATGTTATATAGGCAACGTTTGTTGAGTTTAGACCTTTTTCCTCAAATTATATTAATGGCTAGGAGTTTTTTATCTTGCGGCTATTTGCGCAGTTACTTGAATTCACTAAATGAAACACATTCACGTGTTTTTGAAGGGTTTTGTTCCAGTGTAACTTAAACAAGCTTTGCCATTTAATCAGTGCATATGATGTGAACTTGAGAAATTTATCTTTTGAAAGTTTTAAAGAGCTTTGCGTTGGCAAATACGTTACGTTCGTACGAACCTCATATCTTAAGTACGTGCCTTATTTTGATATTGGCTTAGGTTTTGGGATATTTAAAATGTAACCACTTATTAGTTCACCATAGGTGATATCAAAAATTGTGTCTTCTCAAAACGAATTTATGAACATGGATGGATGCGACTAGTGACTCACTTTGACCAGATGCCAACCATGTAAACCCACCGCACTCAAAACCAATTATCACATTTTAGGCATTCACAGCTTCAGAGAACTCAAGACAAATGTCGAGTTTAATTATTATTGACAAACTTACAGTACGATGTATAATTAGCATGCTCTATAAATGACACTTTCGTAATATATTATATGCAGTTTTATTGTTTTAAATTAAATCAAATAACTGGGAAATGACATGTCATTTAATATTCCGATCTAAACTGGCAGCACAACAGGTAAAGAAGACAAATGATCAAGCACTGGAACGGGATGTATTTTTTTAGCTTTCGAGCTCCTACACACACACACGCCCCAAGTAGCTACCCCATTTGTTGCTGTTTCTCTACCTCTGACGATGAGCTCTTATAAGAGCTCGAAAGCTCAGGGAAAAATACATCCCGTTCAGTGCTCTATCATTTGTCTTTTTTACGTATAGACATACCTGGAATGCAAATATTCTCTCTCATTCGTGGCAGAACAACGAATTCGTGGCTCAGTTGTTACAAAATTGCATTTCTGACGAAATAGTCGCGCGTCAAATATTTACTTTTCTTTGCTTGAAATATTTTTTAGACAAAATATGTGCGTACATCATTCAAGAAGTCCAGTTAGCCGAACGGTGGTGTTTATTATTCATCATCAGGCTAGTATCATAATAGAAAGGAGGGTTGAATAAACAAAATTTTAAACAACCTGTAAAACGTAAGTAGGGGGAAGGTATTAAGGGATAAAAGGGTCAGATTTTAGTCATAATTTGGGACCAGAGAGGGGAGGGTAGGAAGGGGCTCCGACAATTAGTTCATGTCCCCCTTTGTCTCTGTCTCGCGTCTTTTTGGGGGACGTCAGAACGCAGGGTGTCACAGTCTCGCGACAGCGTGGGTGACGTGAAGAGACATACCATCGCTGTCTTGTCTCTATCTCGAAGCGCGGGGACATGTACTGTCTCCGTCTCGCCGGCGTCTCGCGGCGTGGTAGGAACGACGGGGCGATATGAACTTATTGCCGGAGTGCCTCCCCCCCTCTACCCGGTCCCCAATTATGACTGGAATCGGACCCTTTGATCCCTTAACACCTCCCTCTCCTACTTATTACTGATTGGTTGTTTACAATTTTGTTAAGTCTACACTCTCTTATACTATTGTACTGACCGGATAGTGAATAATCGAAAACGTTCGTTCGCCTAATTGACTTCTTGAATGCTTACATGAGTATCATCGATGGACTGCATCATTGTCAGCAAAACGCAAAACCTAAGCTATACTAGTGTGCAGTAGTCCATAAACCACCGTAAAACTCTTTATATGAAACTTTAATAGTGCTAAATGCGTTGCATTCTTGATATCGGACTTTGGATTTTCAATGCACGCCAGCAGTACCTGTCAGATATGAATCTACTCTGATCGAAATATATTGATAAAGGAAATTAATAACACGACATTGACATGAAACACCCTCAGTCTAAGGGCCAAATAAATGAAGACCTACAGGATGTTAACCCAATGTTTGTCTGCAGAAGTTTAAGTGGCAATTTATTAAATTTTCGTAATAGAACTTTATTTTCCTTTTTGAGTACATTTTTGTCTTATGCAAACCTTTGACTTTGTGATCGTATAAAACAGCACGTGTTGTCAGGTGGAATCTGTTAAGTGTCTGAAGATACGGCTTTTGTAATGATTATACTAAAATAACAATAAGGCAAAAGTCCCAAAACACAGCTGCGGCTGAATAACAGAAGCTGGACTTCTAGGGCAAATAGAACAGATCGTTAACTCCAATAAAGTGAAATGGGCGCATACCTCGCTTGTTTTATTAAATAAGAAGCAAATATGTATATTTCCATGTTTTAGGTTTCCGATTCTAAAAATCATGTGACATTCCCCTGTATCAAGTAAAACGATCTTTATATGTAATCCAAATAAAACCCATTATGTTCTTCTAACTTTCATCGACTTATCCTCTAATCACTGGAATTCAGAAGCGCGGAGTTCAGTGTACTTTATGCATCTATATCAATTGATAATCAACAAAAAGAAAAACGGGGTTTTGTTCACTCGGCCATTTTTCAGAAAGACGGCTTCATTCACGTTGTCACAAAGAACAGTCGAAAGTATCGACAAAGTTATCGATGTCAAGATTATTAGAATTGTGCTTTAGATGGTAAATCTCACATGTCAGTTATATCGCTGAATAGTTCAGGGAAGTTATAATCAAGTTAAAAAACACATTTATAAAGAAGAACTATAAGACGAACAATAACTACACCACGCGTGCATTATCAGGAATTGAAACCACTTTAAAATATAAAAGAAAGAAAGGAATAGTGAAAACAGGTTAGCCAATATAATCAGTTGTACTGTTTTAGAATACATTTTTCTTGCTTGGCTTATGTGGGCACTTTTACTTTGAGACACGGATATAGAGAGATGTACTTTCTTTTGAGAATTTTATTCAAAGATTTTCGGCAAAAATCCTCAGTAGATGAAATATTGCCTAGACATCACACGGCACCGGGAAATAACAAGCTATGCATGATGGTTAAAGACTGCAGTTGCCCGACATCGTGGGGAATGGTTCCGAAACAAGTCGCAAAATATAAGCGCAACTAAAATCCTTTCAAAATGATGTTAGCGTTGTGCACTGACGACCTAATTGGTGTATTTCGAATAAACAAAGGGGGAGGGGTAAAATGGATTCATAATGGGGGCAGTAGGCCAACCGTCGTATATATATATAAGACATTTACATGCGTATAGACGGCAGAAACAAATGGCGGCACCATTGCATAACTTCGTCATATTCATCTTAGCATTACTTAATCAAAACGCAGACAGCCCATGATGACTGATTTAGTTTCTTACCCAAGGAAAATTCTATTTATTGACCTTCTTGGCATTGCGCAACTGACTCTAACTGGCTCAAACCAAATGGCGACAGGTTATGTGGGATTTACCTTTCTCGCTTAATAATAATGATTTTTTTCTATATTTTCTCAGCGACCAGGAATACTTTTACAGTGATTTCTGGCAAAGTGTATTGAGCCAATGACCTAAGACACTTTATTTTGAAAACTGTTCCTTTGTCTTTGCTCTGATTTTATCTGCTTTCCTAACCGGCGTTTCTGTTTGACTGATAAATTGTCCATGAGATGCATAAAATACCTCAAATTAAGCCCTAGCTACAACAGTCCTCTAATAAATTGTGCCAAACGTTCATGAAATTTTATAGTTAACTAGAATTTTATTCCCCAGATAACATGCAATTAATCTTTTTTCCTTGTAATATGGCTTTTTCTACTTCTGCAAAAGTGTGCCACCTGACACATTTAAGCCACAGAAGGGCCAACATTCATTTACGTAGGCAACGCTATGGTGTTGCGTGACTCGATGTTATCTATCATCTACTGTTTGAGATAACTAGATACCTTTTTTTTAAACCAAAACCTTCTTACTTTCTCATCAGGTCTACCTCACCAGCGTGGCCGTAACTGTCTTCATTTTGCCAGCCTTCTTCATTGCTCTTTGCCATGTTCTGATGGTTGCTCGCATCTGGCAGGCAGCCGCCCGAAACCGAGAGCTGTCAAATAGGGAGAAACCAAAGTTTCATTTTAGTCACACCCCAGAAGCAGTATATCCGAAAAATAGCCGGAGGCAAACCATGGTCCAAGTGGAGGATGCCGTGGAGGATCAGAGTAAACGGAAAGAGATCAAGTTTACTAAGAACACTGGTTGCATCCCAAGAGCACGTGTAAAGACAGTGAAAATGACGCTTGTAATTGTTTCAGGTAAGAAGATTCGGAAAATTTTAAATGGCATTAATTTCTAGTTTTATGGTCTTCAGAACTGCACTTAGTAAAAAAGACTTACTTTGAAGATTGGGCCACATTCTTTTATAACAAATAGTCACTTGTGATTTAAAGAAGATGTTTTAGTTATAAAATGGGACAAAAACACACAAACGGTCGTCTTGAGAAGCTATATTGTCTGAAATTTTGTTGACTGCGCGTAAAAGTTTTCGGAGCATAATTTCCCCATGTCATCTGGTTTAAAACCATGCATTGCGTTGCTCAATATTCATTGGAGTTAAGAGCAGTTTAATAATTGGCTGAACTTATTTACTTTCTTTCTCTAGTTTATATCATTTGCTGGTGCCCTTACATGATTTGGAACCTTTTGGTTACATTCGGGGCAGTGGATACAAGTCTACCAAATTTTTCCAAAATTTCACCGCTTATTCAGGTAAAACATTCGCATTTCCTACTTATCGATAAACATTTGCCAAATGCTCACCATGTATACATTAAGTTTCCGTTTTTACACTCTAGCATTTAGTGACATTAAATTCATCCGCCAATCCCTTGATTTTCTGGATATTCAGTGCGCACACAATCGTTTCAGAAAGAAGACGAAATCGACGAAGGTACGTCGTCGCAAGACTGACCCAGACTTTTTATTCATTTATGCAAACTACTGCGTGACAGACCTGTGGTGACGTAATAAGTAGCCATTAAGTACATTTGGACGAACCGCGGCCAAATATCCTATACCCAATTACACCTTTGTCTTGTTTGAACTTAAAATGCTAAAAATTGAACAGTGAGCACTGTTAGTTAATTCTAGTTTTCAGAGTTAACTTACTTGAAATGCAACTAAAAATTATCGCTTGATTTATAAAACAATGCACCTTCTCGAAAGGTAACTTAAAGAAGACAATGCTAAAGTCTTTCAAACAACGGAAGTGACTTGCCGACAACCGAGAACAATGGTGTTGTTACTAGCTGTCAGGTAATGCATACGGAAGGATGTTGGAGGAGGACCGCAAATCATAAAGGAATTTTTTTAAGACCCAGCCTCGTGTATATAGATATGTGTGTTATCTTCCACGAATAATCATTTTATATAACTTTGTAAACTTTCGGACATACACGCCTTTTGGTTGTCATGATAGTTACACCATCCTCTAAACCTCTATTTAGCAAACAGGCTTTCCGCTGAGGTAAAGGTTGCTCGTATGATGGAAATTATATTTTCAGAGGAAACTCAAAGTACCACAACCATAAATCAGGCTGTGGGAGGTCGCATATTAGCTGCACGCATATTTCTATAAAAAACTGCCACAGTAGTTTATTTATATTCGCGCATGACTTATTCCGAACTCGATATTTTAGGAGTTTACGTCTAACGTTGATATATTGGAAAAGTATACGTATGCAGCGTGGCAGATTAAGCAAATGGCGTGCACATTCATATGCGCAATAGAGAATGCGGGCAGTTTAAAAAGAATTACGCTCATATCGACAAAAGATAACATCAGTCGGAAATGTGCACCCTCTTTTTTAAAAGCGCATGCAGTTTTTAACTTTAGAAACTCGATGTATTTTTCTTTTCAATAAATCATAATTTCCTACTTCACAAGCATATGGGAAAATTCCAAGCGGGTATTAAACTATTCCAAAAAAGCACAGGGATTGCTTGAACCATATTTTACCACAAAACAACTCTCTTACGGAAGAGGAATAAGTCAACGGAAACCTGACTTTGCATTTTAAATGTCTTTAGAATTGTACGTGAAGGCAACTTGAGTTTTGCCGATAATGAATTGTGCGTGCCGTTGCTGCTTTGGGACATTTATTCGGCGGTCGAACGAGGTTAGATGAGTTGTTCACTTTCTAATTGAAAATATATTGAACTGACTACATTTTTCAAAGGGCAATGAATAAAGCGCAATATTGGCAATAATAAAAGGTCAAAAGTATGTGACGGTGAGAAGGCAATATCATATTTACCTAACGGGATATGTCAAGGTTATAATTCAACATCTGCTCTGTGAACTTCAGTTTTTGTCTGTATAATGACAAACTTGCATCTGGCCCGTGTCTGATAACGGTATAACTACTCAGTGTTTGCAGAACAAGGACCACGTTTAATATCCAAATCGAAGTAAATGAGTTAATGGCAACAACAATTGTAGGATGAGCGAGTATTTATTTCAGTTTAAGCTCTCAGTTCTTTTTAGTGTAGAAGTTGAGATTGCTTCATCCCTTCATGAAAACCGGATACAGTTGTTTACGGTTTTACAAAATGTGAAGATTAAAATGTGAAGAGGTGGTTTAAAACGAACTTGAGTTTGTTTATTTTGTTTATTGAATTGGCTTGACGAGCAAAAGGCTGTCTATCAGAGATGTATTCAGTGGCGATCAGTGTACTTAAGGAAAAATGAGCCAATGTGGGTCAAATCCAATGCTCCAGAGAACGTTATATTCGGTGTTGCGTTTATAAAAATTCCATAAATGCAAGTATGGGAAATCGCATTGTTTTCCTGAAACGAGGGGTGGATTCACTTCAAAAAACTTGCTTTTGAAAAGTTGTTTTGTAGCATAAGACTCAATAAATTCGGACGGCTGTAGTTAGTTCTACCACAACACGAATGAAGATAAATGAGCATAGGTACGAACGTCCGGATCACGCCGTCAATTTCTATGTCAGTAAACAAAGTGTCTTCAAACATTTTTTGTCTAGAGTTGCTTATGAACGAGCATAGCATTACAGGTGTTCACGAAAACTTAGTTTATTGTCTGCCACTGTCTTGAGGATTTGCTAGCTAAGAACGAGGCCTCAAAGTAAACAAATATTACAAATGAGAATTCTTGTTGGCAAACATCTGTTTTCGGCAATTCATCATCGGACAAGTACAATGCAATGTATGGCCTTCCAAAAATGCATAAACAAGGCATACCACTTCGTCCTATCTTGGACAAGAGAAACTCGCCCTACCACTCCATTGCAAAATGGCTCGTCGAAAAGTGCAAGCCGCTACAGAGCTCTCTGTACCCCCAGAAGCCTGAAGGACACTTTTGACTCCGTCGAAGCTATCAAGGATACCAAAATTGGAGAAATGAAAATGCTTGCATTAGATGTATCTCCACTGTTTACCAACGTACCGGTAGTAGAAACCATAGAGTACCTATGTGAATTTATACGGGAAATAAACTACCAGATAGGAATGACAGTGGAGATGCTAAAAGAATTATCGACGTGCTGTACACAAAGCGTACAGTTTCTGTGCAATGAACAGTTGTACAAGCAAATAGACGGAGTGGCAATGGGGCCACCACGTGGACCATTCCTCGTAAACGTCTCCATGGGCAAGGTCGAGGAAAGCATTCTCAAGGACCCATTCAATGGGCTTAGTTCTATGGTCGATACGTTGATGATGAAATATTTTGCCTGACAAATAACCCTACTGATATCGATGTCCTACTTAAGAAGTTTAACACGGCACACACAGCACTAAAATTTACTGCGGAAATGGAGGCGAACAACGAACTCACTTTCTGAGACACCCTCTTACAAAGACAAGATGATGGTGCAATACAACGCCGGATGCTCAGAAAGAAAAACTGGACGGGGCAATATATTAACCTTCACAGTTTCGTTCCTCTTTATCTTAAACGAAACTTAGTTCAGGGCAAAGCAGTCAGAATACGATGCAGCTGCTCTCCTGAAACAGTGGAAGTAGAATTGCAACATCTACAAAACGCACTCCGCGAAAATGGATACCCCGAAAGGTTCATCCTCCGAAACATCAAGGAGCGTGTCACAAAGGCTGCCGTTGCAACGGCAGAAAAGAAAGATTTATTCATAAGACTGCCGTTTCTAGGAGACTTAGCAAGCAAACTAGTAAGGCGACGTCTAAGGGCAGCAGTCACAAGTGCCTTCCCAGCGGCAAACCTATGCGTATTCTTTACCAACCCCCTCTTTTACGCATGAGGGGTAAAGACCGGTTACCGTTGCAGGCTACATCCATGTGTATTTATTCATTCACCTGCTCCTGTGCGGCAGGCTATATTGGCCGAACAACGCGACGTCTGGAAAAGAGGATACGCGAGCACTTACCAGCCTTATTTGGCAGACGCGAACATCGATCGAGCTCAAGTTCAAGTCTCGCACACTTGATCGATACAAACCACCAAGTTGACGTGAGAGAGGCCTTTTAAGCCATATACCAGGCGCCGACACACTATTCTACAGGCCTGCGCAAACGGGTGCTCTTCATAGACGAAGCAGTGACAACCCACTTAGCAAATCCCGCTCTCTGCTGTCAAAAGACGCTGGTAGCCGCAGTCTGCCTACCCTGGCCAACTTCCCCCGTGCCGCCAGAATAGACGGCATCACCAACTACGCACGCCGACACTGAGAACATCCCTTACTCCCCCCTCTCCCCCGCTTGCCGGACCCAACGTCACCAACAAGCTAGAACCCACATGCATGAGACGAGTAAACACCACGATGGCTAATTAAAACACCCCAC